GTTGTCGAAGCACCACAGGTTGGAGACGTTGTCCTGGTAGTGGGAGAAGAGAAGAACAGGGGAGAATGGAAAAAAGGGAAAGTGCTTCGACAAGTTCGTGGAAAAGACGGTGTAGTCAGAGGAGTTGTGCTGTTGCACAAAGGGCATACTATTGAACGACCACTACAGTTGATCTGTCCGCTTGAGATTCACTGCACACCAAACGAACGACACAAAGCAGTTGAAGAAAAGGAATCGGAGAAAGAAAAGAGACCTCAGAGACAAGCCGCAAAGAAAGCAATCAAGAAAATAAATGAACTAACGCAGTTGGAAGAGGACTGAACATTTAATATATACGTTGATATTCGGGTTTGAAGTTATAAAAATTAAACCTTAATTTTTGGGGGAGTGTGTACGGAATAGTGGACCCCCCATATAAGTGACGTAAGCATGATTGACGTTTGCATAAAAGAAACATTAAGAGCATGTTGATGGGGGGTCGTTTATTATTAGATTATGTGAGACGAGACAAAACAAAACAAGTGAGTTGTGAGCGTGAGAATTCTATATTTTTATAGTGGTTATATACCTGTTAACAATTTAACAAGAGAAGTTCAGGATATATTGACCAATTTTAAAACTTCTGTAAGTGAAAACATTTATTACTCAAGACGGGTGAAAGGGTGCTAAGAATAATTTTTCATCGATGGTTGCTCTTCAAGTGCAACTACTTTAGATGTATATATACTGCATCAGAACATGTACTTTGTAACACATTTACGTACCTCAATTTGATCTATATCAACTTTCTTGTATTCCTTCTTCATTTCTTTTAGCCCTGTCTTCATTGCGTCCACCTTTAGGGAGTAAAAATTGTAGTTAGCTCATGTAATGCATGGTTGTTCCACGGCTCAAAATAGTATTTCATGCTATGCCGGCCATGCAGTGACTGGTTAACTCCGACATACTGTATAGGCGAAATCGTTTTGACTTTTCGCAAGATTCAAACGCGAAATGTCTAATACCAAGAAAACCCTTACAAATCCACAATGCGCCAAAAATTAATCTCGTTCCTAGAGCTACAGTACAATGTGACCGGTCGCTTGGTTCGACGTCGAAAAAATTAAATTGCACATCACAATCAATATGTAATCTACGAAAAATAACAACGTGCATTATCATTGAGAAAATTGAACTGACAAGCCAAAACTCAGAATGCAATATTTTGTCTCTTCTATGCTCCACAGCCATTGCACTCTATCAACACACGCATTGTGCCGGTACTCAAAACACCCATGACTACGGCTACCTTTACACTATACAAAATAGTTTTTCGTAGCGGTGCAAAAAAGTACCTATCCGATACGGAATGTACAATTTTATGAAGCTGAGCGACACATGTCTCCGTTGTAAAAAAATTCCTCTGAAAATAGCGTTCCTAAAAGGTACAGATTGGTGTTTTTCACGTCGCTATACAATAAGCTATCTGGTTCAATGTAAACGTAAACATTTCAGCGTCCTAAAGCCTAGTTCTCATTCATCGCAAACCGTCGGCGATGGGAGCTTTGCGACGTCGGCGACCGCTTGCCATTTATGAGAACACATCAAAAATTATATCGCCGACTGTCCGTAATCGTCGCCGACCATCGGCGATGACATCGCAGGAAACAAAAAAGTTTGTTTCTTGCGACCATCGCCGACTGCCACCTGCTTAAAAAATCTATGAGAAATGAGTAAAAGTTGTTTTTTCCTCAACAAGCAAGGAAATAATCAACTGAAGTTTGACAGAAATCATGAACTTTACGTTGAATGGGCCCATTTTGTGGGAAATTTGGGAAATTTCGAAACACATCGGCTGTCATCTGCGACGATCACCGATGTATGAGAACTTTCGTGCATTCGCGCTCGGCGAGTATCGGCGATAAGCGTCGCCGATCGTCGGTGACAGATTGCGATGAATGAGAACTAGGCTTAATTAGGCGAGAGTTGGCATTCCGCTCATTCAGGAGGGTACATGCATGACAAAAATGTATTCTTGATTCAAAGAAAAAGTATTACAAAGGTATTCTCAGCCCATTTATATTAACAGCACTACCGTAGTTTTTGTATCCTTTAACGTCTGAGTAGCGTAATTTGTCTGTTCCATATTGAAAGATTGCTGTCTAAGATTCTCAAGTTGACTCTCGTACCTAAGCAATGGAGAAAGACGTCAAGTTTTATAATTTGTCACAAAACCAGTTACAAAATATTGCAAACCGACAATAGGCAATTCCAGTTTTTTGTTTACTGTATAAGTAGCAGAAGTAAGGTATCATATTGCTAATTATGCTGAAAAATAAAAATGGCGGCCGTGTAAACACGGAGTGATAGCTTATACTTGTAAATATTGAAATATTTCGGCGGTTTTTATTGAAATTTTTCGGCACAATCAGCAATATGATACCTTACTTCCCGTCACCCCTGCGCGCATAAATTAAAAGCTGGAATTGCCAATGGTGCAGAGGCTTTGGCAGGGAAATAAAACATATGCGATGCCAACAAGTTCTTAGAGGAGTAACAAGGAGAGCGAGACTAAAAAATGAAGGCACAAGTTGATGGAGCTGGAAAAAGAAGTTTATATAATGGACAATAGAGTGCAAAGTAGACAAACAAGAAAGACAGGACAAATGAGAAAGCGATAGATGGATCATGCTCCAGGTGATGGCACATGCTGAGTGGTTAATCTGGTTACCATCGATGATAAAAAGAGTGGCAAAGTTGTCAAGGCAACTGGATTCACATGAAGTAGTATGATGATGATCGTGATTCCAACAACAATATTCTATTTACTAAATAAAACAATTTAGCAAAATAATTATCCTTTATTACATTTTTTTCTGCTTTAAGACCCTCATTGCTCTTTGCTTCACCATATTCTATTAATTAAATAAGAAAAAAATGCCATTGTCACTCCATTTCGCTTTCTGTAAGTTAATCTACACAATATTTGCCATTGAAAAAGGCACTTTCTCGTCAACCCAAGTTTGCAGTTAGCTCAAGTCACTTGCAGGTAACCGGATTACTGTGGATCCCAGCATCTGTAATCCATGCTTGAAACCTGCAAATAATACGCAGTGGGTGCAGGTGATATTATATGATAGCTCAACAGAACTGAGCATATGTTTCTGATTGGTCATTTTAAAATTGCCTGTTCACTTGATCGCTAGTTAGCCACAGAATTGAATATTTGTTTGTAAATTTTGTTTCAATAGTTGTTGTTTGTTGCGCTAACACAGTACAGTTTTGTTGTATAAAAAAGCTTTGAATCTAATCATACAGGTGTACTCGCAAGTTGCGAGTGAGATGAAATGCAAGTACTCGCAAGTAGCGAGTTAGAACAAGTACTCACTACGCGCGAGTGGACGCACCCTTACTTGCAACAGGTACTGTAATTGTGTTTTGATTGCTGTTTAGAAATTCTCATGTTTGAATTGTTCATATATTTTGAACTGTCTGGTGTTATGTACATGTACAGTATTCTGCAATTTGAACAGTTACCATACATTTTAATACATTGTAGCAGGCAGCATACTAATCTTGAAGACACTCAGTCTTTGGATATTTTTCATTTATGATCAATATTCTAAACATGCACTATATTTGGTTTGACGACAGTTGCCACTTCATCCTGCAAATAAATTTTGGTTCTGTACAAAACTGTAGCATTAGGGGTGCACCGGAACTCGGTGCCGGCCGGTTAGTTCTTCTATTATGACGTTTAACGCTTGTCAATCTTTTTATTCTAACATTTGCAAGCTCTCTCCTTTATGACTTGAAGTGTCTGCCTGTCTGGCAGCGGACAAAGTAACATATGACTATATATGGCTTAATAAATTAGTTCCGGTTCCGACCGGAACTTCCGGCCAGAACTTTTTTCCAGTTCCGGTCGGATCCGGTTCCGGCCGGAACTTAAAAAACTGGTTCCGGTGCACCCCTATGTAGCATGCCTGTACATTTTATCTTTATGGAGGTACAGTAGCTAAACGGAGCTTTACACCTTTAGTCTATTCAGGAACAGCCATTAACTTGAGGCTTATAGGCTGTTTCCAGAAAGAAATATACTTACAGTAGTTGTGTTTCATGTTGTCTACTTTAGATATTATAATTTATATTCTACTTTTGTGTCTTTGATAAATTGTTCTAGATCTATTGGTTCTTCAAGTGTAGGGTAATGTTTTTTAATTAAAATATATTTGCAATATTAGAGTAAAATTAAGATTCTATGCCATTCATGTAAAGTTATTCAAGAGCGGTTTACGGCTGTATAGTGACAAATAATTTACACAAGATGGCCAGTCTCCACTTGTTGACCACCATATGCAAAAAAAACCTCATGTGATTTTTAAGTGTATGTGAAAAATAATGCACCTATCATTTTTTTCCACCACCCCCTGGAGGGTGGGCAAACCCATGGGCATTTGACATTTTGTAATTTTTTGTCAAATTCTCCACCAAGGACATAATTTCTGAGTCAAAATACCTGTAGGAAGGAGTTGTTAACAATTTCAGGACAATCAAGATTTACATGGTCCCGCCATATAATTCAAAACGTTTAGTCATGCGCAATAAAAAATATTGTCATGTCACACACGATAAAAACATGTTCTAAAGGGTAAAAAAAACTAACATCTGAAGTGCTTGAACTGTTATATATCCATCTTGAAACGACTTATTTTGAAATTCAAGGCCTGGGTGCATAAGTAGCCAGAATGGTTATACAGTAGGATAAGGAACGGTTACGGTATGGGGAAAATTTGTTGTCCGAAAAACTGTGAATATTGTGTATACACATGTATAATACTATGTCGGATGAATACCCGTACCACATTGCGATCTGGTGACGGCTGAAATATATCCATGGCATTATAAATAATATCATATTTGGTCAATATGATGAAAATGTCAAAATATACCTTGGATGGCCCTTCTCTCATTTTCTTCATTTGATCTTTGTACTTTTTCAACTCCATGTCAAGTTTGGCGACCTTTTTCTCAATGGACTCGCCTCTACTATCCACCTTTCATGTAGAATTAAAATAACTGCATTAAATCATAATCATAGGAGTCCCATAGGCATAGGCATAGGCATAGGCATACTGTAATTATAAAATAATGAATGTCACATATAGGGTGTAAAAAGTTAAGAAAAAAACAACTTACATTAGCTATGCAATCTGTTAAGCTTGGTGGAGGTTCTTTAGGTTTCGATTTACCAAAAATCCTATTCATATTTAGACCTAAAATAAGTAAAAACTCAAAAAACTAAAAAATATTGTTTTATTCGATGTTGATTGTGAATAGTGACTTCAGAAAGATGAAAATAGACTCCTACGTCATGCTCGATATCTTGTCGTGTCATGTCGCGCTGATCTCGTGACAAAGCCGTGTGTAATCGTCGTCGGCCATCGGGTCTTTCACACTGAACTGTAAAAATTCACTGGATGCCGACTGAACAGCTTTTAGTCAATGACTAAAGTCACTCTGCTAAAGTCATAACGCTGTGGTTAAAAGTCAGATGCATTTGTTAGATGATCAGTGATAAATCATATATGGAAAAAATATCAATACATATTCTACATGATCATATCATATAGAATATAGAATCATAGGCGTACCGGGCGGGGGTGGGGGCGGGGGTGGGGGCGGTAGCCCCCCAGTTTTTTGGGCAGTCGGGCAATATTCGATCAAAAGTCGGGCAATTTTGGTTTGTAATAAAAAAAATTGGGACAAATTATGTCAATTTAGTCGAAAATTCAGTCAATTTTATTGTAAATTTTGTGTTTAGTTTGAAAATTTGTGTGATGTTCCGAAAAATTTCAACATGAGCTCCAAGACGGATTTACTATATGCATAAAATGTCAAAAGCCAGCGAATTTACTAATATCATCAATTCGCGGCACCCACCGTGTGATCACTCAGTATCCTGGGACGAGTAATAAGCACATGCTAAATTTCAAGATGGCGGAAAAACAGAGCGGTGTGAATGCGTATTCCTCTGCAAAAAAGAAACAATTGCCATCAATTGAAGACCTCATTCGACAGGGAAAGGATCATTTAGGTGAAAGAAAAAGAAAACGAAAGCCAGTGCACTATGAGTTCAGTAATGACCCAACAACTGGTCGGCGCAATTGCAAAAATACATATACGCCACGAGGTCCAACTAGTCGATCGAGAGAAATTATAGCGCAGTCAGTCGGAGACACAAGCGCCTTTTATGATCCTGGGGAAAGTATTGACCCATTCATTGAAGGCAAGAGTTTTTCAGTATTATAAAAAGTTTCATTTATCCCAGTCTGTCCGAAAATATGGATGCAAATTGTTGCATAATTTGCGTATACTAAAACTGTCTGTACCAGTGTAGGTAGTACCAATGTGAAAATGCTGTGCTGAGTGGTTATATTACTGACGAAGGGCCTTCGCTCGAAACGTCGAGTTTCTGCTTATTTTTTAAGGTAGTAATATAACCACTCGGCACATAATTTGCGTATAGACTGTATAGTCCAGGGTGCATTCTGTGCACAGATATCCGGCGTGAGTTTGGCAAACACAATACAATGTATAGTATATAAAATATTGGCGTATCTTCGGCGTAGAATTTTATTTTATACATATTATTAAAATTGTGTGCTTGGTTCTTGTAAAAATAAAACAATTTTGAAAATACTTGGGCCCATCGAACTTTTCATGTGCGGAATGCGTTAAAAACAATATTTAGATATAATCATGTGAACTATCTAGCATTTATATTTGTTGTCTTTAACTAGTGCATTCGCACATGAAAAGTAAACTAAAAGTTAGACATCTGAAATGAGCCTCACTATAATCAAACTATAAGTCCCCTTGGTATAATATTATTATAATATTATTGCCTAGTATCAAGAAGCCACACTGTAGGCTTCTCCCAGGTTGAAGATCTTGGCAAGATCTTGTAAGATCTTGCATGATCTTGGAAGATCATGGCAAGGTCTTGGCAAGATCTTGCCAAGATATTACCAATATCTTGCCAAGATTATTCAATCTTGCCATACTTGCCAAAATCTTGCCAAGATTGTCTGAAATTCTTGTCAAGATCTTGCCAAGATCTTTCATGATTTTTCGTCATACATAATTCTTGCTGAGTTGTATTTTTCGACCTTCATAAGTATAGGTATAATGAACCTTGATCAAACCAATCGCATATATCACAACATTGCCAATACTCTATCATGATCTTGCCATGATCTTGGAAGATCTTGTCAAGATCCCACCATGATCTTGCCAAGATCCCACCATGGTCCTTGCCAAGATCTTATCACAATCTTGCCAAGATTCTATCATAATCTTGCGATGATCTTGCACAATCTTGGCAAGATTCCACCATGATCTTACCAAGATCATATCAAAATATTGCCAAGATCCTATTGTAATCTTGCCATGATCTTGGAAGATCTTGTCAAGATCCCACCATGATCTTGCCATGATCCCACCATGATTCTTGCTAAGATCTTATCACAATCTTGCCAAGATTCTATCATAATCTTGCCATGATCTTGGACAACCTTGCCAAGATTCCACCATGATCTTGCCAAGATCTTGTCAAAATCTTGTCAATATCCTATCATGATCTTGCCATGATCTTGGAAGATCTTGTCAAGATCCCACGATGATCTTGCTAAGATCCCACCATGGTCCTTGCTAAGATCTTATCACAATCTTGCCAAGATTCTATCATAATCTTGCCATGATCTTGCACAATCTTGGCAAGATTCCACCATGATCTTACCAAGATCATATCAAAATCTTGTCAAGATCCTATTGTAATCTTGCCATGATCTTGGAGGATCTTGGCAAGACTCCACCATGATCTTACCAAGATCCTACCATGATCCTTTCTAAGATCTTATCACAATCTTGCCAAGATTCTATCATAATCTTGCCATGATCTTGCACAATCTTGGCAAGATTCCACCATGATCTTACCAAGATCATATCAAAATCTTGCCAAGATCCTATTGTAATCTTGCCATGATCTTGGAAGATCTTGTCAAGATCCCACCATGATCTTGCCATGATCCCACCATGATTCTTGCTAAGATCTTATCACAATCTTGCCAAGATTCTATCATAATCTTGCCATGATCTTGGACAACCTTGCCAAGATTCCACCATGATCTTACCAAGATCTTGTCAAAATTTTGTCAATATCCTATCATGATCTTGCTATGATCTTGGAAGATCTTGTCAAGATCCCACGATGATCTTGCCAAGATCCCACCATGGTCCTTGCTAAGATCTTATCACAATCTTGCCAAGATTCTATCATAATCTTGCCATGATCTTGCACAATCTTGGCAAGATTCCACCATGATCTTACCAAGATCATATCAAAATCTTGTCAAGATCCTATTGTAATCTTGCCATGATCTTGGAGGATCTTACCATGATCCTACCATGATCCTTTCTAAGATCTTATCACAATCTTGCCAAGATTCTATCATAATCTTGCCATGATCTTGGACAATCTTGCCAAGATTCCACCATGATCTTGCCAAGATCTTATCAAAAATCTTGCCAAGATCCTACCATAATGCTGCCATGGTCTTGAAAATCTTGCCAAGATCTCACCATGATCTTGCCAAGATCTCAGCATGATCTTGCCAATATCTTACCAAAATCTTGCCAAGATCTTATTGTAATCTTGCCATGATCTTGGAGGATCTTTTCAAGATCCCATCATGATCCTTGCTAAGATCTTATCACAATCTTGCCAAGATTCTATTATAATATTGCCATGGTCTTGGAAGATCTTGTCAAGATCTCACCATGATCCCAGCATGATCTTGCCAAGATCTTATCTATCTTGATCTTGGAAGTTCTTGACACAATCTCTTGTCATGATTTTACCATGATCATACCAAAAATGCCATGATTTTGAAAGATCCTTGTGAAAGGAGACTTTTACGCGCACAGTTGCTCTCGCACCTTTGCGTGCCAGATCCAAATGACTGAAATGAGATCAAATAATCAATATCTGTAAATCTTGTTATCTGCGCATTTTTCGCATATTTGTGGTAGACAACCGTTGGTAAAAGCCCCAAGGCGCGTTTTATAAGTCAAACATACAAGGTACACGGCAGTTTATACTTCTGTTCCTCGACTTTGTTGCTGCACTAAAGAAGAAAGGATAACTTGTCGAGCTGTCTTAAATAAAAAGTAAGTGCTTACAACCTATTTTGTAACACATTATTTGTATATTGAATGAATGAGCGCTAAGCAGTTTGATTACCACATGTAATAAATGTTTCAAGCTTTTTCAAATAACCTTACAAAAGGCTAAGTTAATTGGGTAAAGCGATGCAATGCTTGCTGTAATTTCGACTTTAAATAATTTTAATAACACCTCATCATTGGTCGCAATAAGCTTTTACGTGATAATGCCTAGTTTAACGTTTTGTTAAGAATGACAAAGCCGTTGAGAATACCCCTGGGACCACAAATTATTATATTCACACAGTTTTATATTTATTACACAGCTTTTGCGCAGCTTGCGCTACTGAAATGTCCTGATAACCGTAGTTTTGACAGATCCGGTGCCAAACATCGTAAATGCAGCGCATAGGAACACGGTATAAATGTGAGCTTCATTAGTGAGTTAAGTTTCATTATGCCAACCAGTGAAGCTAGGATAAAATATAGAGATCTTTCATATAAAATTAATGGTTTGAGCTATGATTATTCAACATGTGTATTATTCAAAATTTGTTATTTCAAATATTATTTAGGAAAACATGGTGAAGGCATCCCCAAATGATAAAGCTATGGCCAAAAAAGAAACTACAGAGATCGAGATTGTAAGTATGAGTGTATACATGTGTAATTTATCGTTTTTACTTAAAAAGAATTCAACTACAGTGATTTAATATCAAGTATTGTTAATTCATTTTAGTGGCACAATGACATTAATTTGATGACCGTAAATGCACCACCAAAAGAGCCATCAAAATGTGCAATCAAATTATTGGACTTCCTATTTTCATCGGAAGAGCTCCAGGATGGAATACTATTCCAGTCGAAAAGATCTCCAAAACCAGCACTAGATCCCAACAGGGTCACTAAATTGTTTGGTAAGAATAATATATGTGATTTGACTTCAAGAAAAATTAACTGGCCACTGGCCAGCTGTGAACAGATATATACAAACTTAAGACTAAGTTGCCACAGTATGTGTTAATTAAAAGTATATAGTTTTCTTTGCCAATGGCAATGTGTTTTGGGTAAACATTGAAATGAACTTAAGTACAAAAAATAGACTTACTTTAACACAGTCTTTTTTTACGATATAGCTGTCCTCAACGCCAAGTATGGCGAAGAAAAAGTACAGAGAACAGTAAACACACCAAATTATCGTGGATGCGTGCAATCAAAATTCAAAAGTGCCGCGATATGCGAAGAAAAACAAAATCGAAGAACTTGCAATAACAATGGTGTCAATTTGCTAATATAATTCATGAAGTAAAGTATGAAACAACCTCCGAATAAAAGTTCCATCTTGAAACTCAATTCTTTAGAACAACATTATTAAGAACAGACAAGATTCCCTTTGTTTTCTCAAATATTGAGCAAGGTGGAACTTTCATTCGGACTTTATTTCAATCGCCATAGATATTGATAATATTTTACCAACATTATTGGTCTAATTTACTACATCTACTATGCAAACTAAACCGGGTAAAAGCTTGAGTATTATAATTTGGATGAACTAATTTATTACAATTTAATAAAGACCGACATTGAATTTATGGCAATATTGTACACTTTTACGTTAGTTTGATAAATTCAATCAAAGTTATATCCAGAGTATAGTATATTTCATGTAGAGCCTCTTCATTCTGTATTTGCCAAGTATTCTTGCGGAAATCTTGCCACGAACTTGGTAAAATCTTGTAGGGTCATGGCAAGATCTGGCTGGATTTTGGTAAGATATTGAAGGATCATGGCAAGATCTCGCAGGATTTTTGGTAAGATCTTGGAGGATCATGGCAAGATCTTGCTGGATTTCGGTAAGATCTTGGAGGATCATGGCAAGATCTCGCAGGATTTTTGGCAAGATCATGGCAAGATCTTGCTGGATTTTGGTAAGATCTTGGAGGATCATGGCAAGATCTTGCAGGATTTGTGGTAAGATCTTGGAGAATCATGGCAAGATCTTGCAGGATTTGTACCAAGATCATGCCAAGATGTTACATAAATCCTGCAAGATCATGGAAAGATCTTGCATGATCTTGCAAGATCTT